AGTCTCCTGTATTTTACCTTTGCTAACCTTGACTTCTTAACCTTCGACAGCCTTTCGCCTTTGTCTAGATTCCCAGCCTATCCGTGCCGTTTCGATATGTTAGTGAGTAATACCCAAAATGGTTGTCCCCAATGTGACATCTAACACAGATATCCTAAAACCGCGTACCGCGTTCAAGCTGGCCACCTACAGTGTTCGGACGCTGATGCGAATCGGACAAAAGGCAGGGTTGGCAAGAACTTTGGAAAGCCTCGCTATCGATGTCTGCTGCATTTCAGAGACCCGCATTCAAGATCCCAGTGAAGTGCTTCGACTATCCTCTCCATCTGGAAGTTCTAGCAGTATGTACCACCTGCGCTTATCCGGGGACCCTGTTGAGTCGGCATCCGGCGTAGCTGCTGTCGGTGTCGCACTGAGCGCTAGAGCCGAAGCTGCATTGCTCGACAGCATTCCCATTAACAGTCGTTTATGTGCTGTGAGGCTGGAGGGTTATACGAAAGTAAGGAGTAGTAGACCAGACAGGCGGTGTCTATTTGTTGTCTCTGCCTATGTACCGACGGATTACAGCCCGGATGCAATACCACCAACTGAGCGACCTCTTGAAACAGGCGGGTCGGAGGGATATCATAGTGCTGGCTGGGGAATTGAATGCACGGGTCGGGCATCTAAGCTCAGCGGAGAATCGTCTAGGTGGTCGATGGGGACTACATGGTCGCAGGTCAGATAATGGGGACCGTCTTCTGCAGCTTTGCGCGGATCACAACCTATTTCTAGCCAGCACCAACTTCCGGCACAGCCATCGCCGTAGCGCTACCTACGAAGCAAGCTTGGACTCAGATTGATCATATTGCTGTCAGTTTCCGGTCGCGAAGATGCATACAAGACTGTCGCTCCTTCTGGAGCACATGCCTGGACTCCGATCATGCGTTAGTGTGTGCCAAGTTCGTCTTGCGACTTGGTGGGGTTCGTAAAAGCCGTCGTGTAAACGCTGATGTAAGCAAACTAATAGCACCTGCTACTCCTCTGAAATATCAGAATGAATTACAATCAATACTTGCCACCAACCCCCCAAGTAGTATAGATGAACATTGGTTTCATCTGCAAGGTGCCATAGGAAGGGCAAGTGTAGCCGCTTGCTGCTTGAAAGAATGCTCCGCTAAAAACCACTGGGTTTCTGCGAGTTCCTTGCAACTCCCGGTCCATTCCGGCTGGCAACGAATACAACAATAAGCGAAAGGCGCTCACGCGCAAGATTAGACAGTGTTTACGTAAGGACCGTGAAGCATGGTGGTGAGAAAGTGCATGTGAGATGGAATCACCTGCTGCAGCCGGTAACAGTCGGAAGCTGTTCCAACTCATACGAGCCACGGGCAGCAAGAAACAAGGTGTCGGCGAGACGGTCTGTGAGGCAGATGGCACGTGAATTACCAGCTTGAAAAAACGCCTGGAACGCTGGGCAGAGCACTTCGGGAAGCAGTTTAGCTGGCCACCAGCTTCAGTGTCTACTGTCATTAGCCCGAACCAACTGTCATCACGTGAAGGTGGTGTAGATCTGCTACCTGGAGATAGACTTTTCGACCCCGAGTATGCAGACGATATCGTCTTACTGTTAGATAGCATGCAGGCTGCCCAAATCGCACTTAATCAGTTGGCGATCAGTGTCTGTAAGTATGGTATATGCTTTGCGCCGTCTAAGTGCAAAGTACTGTTACAAGACTGGCAGGAGCCTGTACCTGCACTCACTCTTGCGGGTGAACCGCTTGAAGTTGTTGATAAGTTTGTGTATCTTGGTAGTTGTGTGAGTGCTGGCGGAGGGGTGACGGATAAGATTTCCAACCGTATAATGAAGGCTAGGGTGGCATACATCAACTCGAGCCACCCATGGCGCCGTTCCGACGTTAGCCTGACTGTCAAAGGTCGGGTATACAATGCTTCGGTGGGGGCTGCCCTGCTCTACGCCTGTGAAACCTGGCCTCTTCGAGTAGGCTGAGGATGTTCGGCGACTCTGCGTGTTCGATCATCGCTGTTTCCGCAGGATTGCTTGTGTTCGATGGCATCAACGCGTGAGTAATTCTGAGGTTCGGCGGTCTGTGTTTGAACAGAGTGGAGATCACCATTCATTGAGTGTCGTCATCTGGAAACACCGGCTCCGGTGGCTTGGACATGTGGTGCGAATGTCATCCCAGAGGCTTCCGCACAGGTCTCTGTTCGCTAGCCCTGTGACGGGATGGAAAAGGCGGAGGAGTGGCCAGTCCATGACGTGGCGTCGTGGGATGAAGGATGTTTGTGCTAGATTAGCATCGGTTGGTGTGTCACGACTTCCTGTTTGGGGTCCGAGAGATAGCTCAAATCGGTGGCTCGAAACGTTATCGGATATGGCCAAGAATCGTAATCAATGGCGAACGTGTTGCAATTTCCTTCTTTCTTCCCTTCTCGATGATAGTTAACGAATACTGTTTGAACTTGTTAAGCATGACTGTTTTCCTTCCTTTTTCCGTTCTCTACTTATATTTTTTTTATTTTCCTTCTTTTATTGATCTATGTTGTTTTATTATTATTGTGTGGCGCATCCTTCTTGGTGCCATATTGCACCAAGTTTTTATGCGTTCAAATAAATAAATAACGTCAATATTACTCATCATTATTAAACGCTTAACACGGGAGATAGGACGCAAACATCTGTGGTCAAAAACAACTAGATCTTCAATATCTTCCACTTTCAATGGCTGTGTCTCACAACCATAATGAAGAACAGAACAATCTGCTGCCCAATGCACATGTCCATCCATCGACAGGCAGATATCGCATCTACGCCAAAGATAACATCAGTTTACAGATATCACACGACCCTTTTGTATGATTATTGAGGTTTTGTTAACAATCAGTCCATTAGGCAACTTCAAAAATAAGTGAAGCAGTTAACACGCTTAGCTGCTTCACTATGGGGTTGGTTCAGGCCTGTCTTGTACAATTATCTGACATTTGAAAAGAGTGAAACCTTTGTCAAAGTGTTCAGAAAACTTTAAAATTTATCAGCATCTTCACCTAGAAGGATAATGTCATCTGCTTACTCTAAAATCAACGAGACTATCACCCGGTAACATGTCAAGTCACTAAAGTCAATTGAGATCACATCTCGATGAAGTTAGACAAAAACCTAGACACCTTACGGACACCACTGGCTGTCATTACTTCACAACCTCGTTTCAGTTCCATTTATATATCCTTACTGTTCAGATTTCAATAGTTCACTGATGAATAGGTCAATAGTTTTTTTTAAATTAATCAATATTGCAGTGGGTTATTATCTTCAATACTCCTAATGTTGATGTCAGGTTTATTGATTTTTTATTATGAATATTTTTTAAAAACAAGAAATGATTAATTTATCCACTCACCCAACATATTTCAGTTTTATTGCTTGAAATTCTCATTTAATAGCAATAATGAAATAGTAAAAATTATGATAATAATGACAAACAGAGAGTTAAAACAATAAGGAAGTCAAATCAATATGCCTAGAATGGTTGTCTGTGACAAGCTTACGAATAGACTTGGCAAAAAATTAGTGCTACACAAGATCGTGTTTACCTGAATCCACTATAAATCAATCGAGACAATCAGAGAGAAAAAAAACAATCAGACGTGTAAATTGTATCTATCTTATCTTCTTTAGAATGTTTTCAATTAAAAAGAGAAATGAATAAGTGTAGGAATGGCAAGTATTACTTATTGATTAATTCATGAAATAACGCGACAGACGCAAAACCGAGGTCATCGTATCAAAAAAATTACAGTCAATTCAACTTTGTCATTATGTGTCAGGTTAATTTTATGCTAGGTATGTTGCATTCCAGATAACTTTGTAACTATTGTCCTCTTTTCTCCTACACAGTATATCAGTGTCTTGACGCTTGTATATAATATATTGACTGGATGCTTATTGTTTGCCTTTATTATTATTATTATTTCCTTTAATTCCTAGAGGAACATAAGGCTTCAGTCGAGCGCCTCCATTGCCTTCTGTTTTCTGCTAACTTTTTCACTCCTCTCCAAGTCTGCCCACGCACTTTCATCTCCTCTTCCCATGACCTCCTCCAAGTCACCCTCACACTGACAACCAACTCGCCGCTTCCCTTTCGGGTTCCACTCGAGCAATGGCTTGTCTAGTGATGTCACTTGATGGTTTCCTCAGAGTATGGCCAGCCAATCCATCTCCATTTCCTTTCTGCCTATTTGTTTCATAATCGGTTCCTGTCGGTTTGGTTCGCTCCCAGAGATCTCTGTTGCTGATCTTTTCTGACCTTTTTCTGAGGAAAATAAAGCGCTAATGGTAACACCAAAACTCAGGAACTTTGTAGGATATTGCAAAAACGTCTAAAAAGCAGTGAAGATAATAATGTAAGCATCTTGGAACATAGGGGTGTAATATACAACGATCCCCAGGTTTGAACAATGCAAGAACTACAGTTTTAGCAGAATAAAATGGTACCATCTTTTATTTCGTTGCCTTCTCGTCAGCTGCTTACATGGCAAAGACATTATTAAATATATCTACAACAACAATTTTAACATACTTGCACAGAGTTCAGTTTAAACAAAAATCAATCGATCAATATACTCATATACTAAAAATATATACATATATATATATATATGCAATATTAAACACTATTCTGAACAATAATAATCAAACACAATGGAAACTTTTAGCATTTCTTATTCGGAGGAAAGAGAGGTGAAATTATCCAGGTTATAAGTGAACTTCTCAGTGAGTGGTTTTGCAATGACACCAGAGTGCACCCGACCCCGAATTTCCAAATGACCTGCAAAAGCAACCACAAATTAGGAGAAATAGATTTTAATATACAAAATATAGACTCAGCGATTAAGACATTGAAGTCAAATGGCAGTACTGGAACAGACGACATACCATCTGTCATATACAAAAATGGTAGCACGGAAATGGTAGTCTTGTTACTTAGAATATTTACTCTGTCACTGGAAACTGGAACTTATCCTGAAGTGTGGAAAACCACATACATACTACCTAAGCACAAAGCAGGGGCCAAAACCAGTGCATGCAACTATAGACCTATTAATATAACACCGGTAATATCACGAATAATGGAGAAAGTGGTTAAAGACCAAGTGTCAGACAACTTACTAGAACATGAACTTATCAACCCATCACAACACGGATTCCTCAAAAAGAGATCATGTGCGACCTGTCACATAGACTTTTTCAACGAAGTTACACGAAGCAGGGACAACAGAGAACTAGTAATTGTGCTATATTTCGATATAACAAAAGCCTTCGATAGAGTCCCCCATAATCTGCTAGTCAGCAGGTTATGCTCACTAGGGATATGTGACCCCCTCCTGAGCTGGATAAAATCATTTCTCTGTGACAGGAATCAGATAACAAAAGTTGGCTCGATAAACTCAAGGCCTAAACCTGTAAGTAGTGGTGTAATCCAGGGAAGTGTATTAGGCCCACTCCTATTCATAATATATATAAACAGTATCTGTGAATGCTTTAGTGTTGGTAAACCAATACTATATGCAGATGACTTAAAAGTGACCTATAAATGCAAGAACACAGATCTCGGAATAACAGTAAACGCCATACAGCAAGAATTAGAAAAAATGGATAGATGGTGTGACACCTGGCAACTCCAGTTTAATGTCGACAAATGTGGCTGGCTCTGCATAGGTTGCAACAATTTAGAACTTGACCTGACAATTCAAGGCCATGCACTCTTACGACTGGAATCTGTATTGGACCTAGGACTGAAATACTCACATGACTTATCATTTTCTGAACATATCTCCAAACAAGTGTCAAAGTCACGCAGACTTATCGGCTTTCTACTCAGGAACTTTTACAGAAATGAGTCCAGAATTCTGTTGTACAAGGTTTGTGTGCGTCCTTTATTTGATTACTGTTCATTCATGTATAGTAGTATACGCATAGAGGACAAATTGAAAGTCGAGGGAGTGCAGAGGTACTTCACGTCAAAATTACTCGGAACCGAAAATGGTGCGAACTACTCCACTAGATGTGACACCCTAGGATTAGAAACACTATGGCTAAGACGCCTGAGACTAAACTTAACACTTTACTATAAGCTTCTAAACCACTTAGTTTTTACCTCTACTAATGGCATTCGACTTTCAGATGACAGTGGCTACAAACTAAGACACACTAAGGGTACAGTAGCTATCGAACAATGTAAAACAGCTACCAGGCAAAAGTTTTACTTGATTAGGTATGCACAGATATGGAATAAACTACCAATGGAAATGCGTCAAGCAGGTACATTGGCCTCATTCAAAAAAGTGCTTAACGACAAACTACAAGAGTTTGCAAACGATAGTAGTCCTAGTTCCTATCTGAGAGCCTCCGAAATTATAGGTCCATTTAATGTATAAGCTTAAATACTACACCTGTTGTTTTTTGCCTATATTTATAATTTTAGATAAAACATTAACGATTAAGATACTTACCCTCAAACAGACAAGAAGTTTCGTTTGTAAAACTTCTACCCAACACAATAAGTGGAATAAAATGGACATAAACCGACAACATGAAAAAGATATAACTCACCACAACATCACATGGACAGATGTACGCTCGTCGGGCATCTTATATACCTCACCAACCACAACTCAACTTTCCTAAGATAATGTGATGAACTTATATCCGTAATGTTGCTGAGCAGTTAATATCCACAACTCCTGTCGGAACAACTAAAATTCAAAAATCCTCCTCACGAGTAAATACCCACAAGCAGTAGAAATCCATTAATTAATGCGTCCAAAGCTTATGTATTTTACTCCCAACAATGACATTGCAGATCAAATGAGATAAGCAAATCACTGATTTCCAAATAACACAACAATGAACTATAATTCAAGAATTCTGTACACAGTAAAATTATGTATGAAAACTGACTTCAAGCTTTATTTTTTTCCCAGGCACTTATAACCCATCCACCAAAGACCTGGTTTTTTTGTTAATGCGAAGACAATACTTCTGTATTTCCTGATGTGTTGCACTCACTGACAATCTAGCGGATTTTTCCAACTATGCACAGAAACGATTGTACATAAGTGAAAAGGATGTTTTATACTATTGGGATTAACATTTATCAAGTGTATGTATAATCTCCAGTGTACATGTTAAACATATTTTGCTATCGACTGTAAATTGTGACTGAATAATATGGTCCTATTTCTGTAACAATTTGATGATGCCTGTAAACTGGCGTCCCTCATGTACTGCATCATGAGAATAAATTTATTTATTTATTTATGATCTTGAGTATTGAGCGAGGACAACTGTTAATGAAGGTCTGTAGTTTGTTTGAGATGCTCTTTATGACGCGCAGTGCAAGTCTCTGATCCGTATAGTAGGTGGCACTGACTTTACATTGGAGTTGAAAATCCGGATGTTATTTTTGATTCTGAGTGGTGTTGACCTCCACACAAACTTGAGAGTAATGAAAGCTTGTCTTGCTTTTCCCATTCTTGCTTTGATATCCTCATCATTTCTGTCCGCCTGTAGTAGAAACGATGCTTCCCAGGTAGGTGGGTAGGTGAAGGAGGTTGTTTCTTTCAGGTTCCTCCCATTTATACTGGCTGATTGTTGTCTGCTGTTGTTGCTGCTGTTGGTGTTGGCCAGGAATCTTCATCACCTCTGTTTTTATCTATGTTCACTTGAAGTCCTATCTTTGATGCTTCTCCTTCTGTCGCCAACTTGTTGCTTTTCACTTGCATATCTTCCGGTTTGTGGGAAATCAGAAATATACATCACATCGGCGAAGTCCAGATCCTCCAAGTTTTTTGTATGGGTCCATTTTATGCTTGTTTCCTCGCTGCTCGCTGTCTGTCGTATTATGCACTCTACTGCAATCAGGAAAATCATTGGTGATAGTAGGCGGCCTTGCCTCACTCCCGTCGTCACTTCGAAGGACTCCGTGAGTTTCCCGTTGTGGATTACTCGGCATGCAGAATTGTCATACAACTGTTGGATGAGATGTATAAATTGTTTGCCTTTGCTCCTGTTTAATCTCTAATTTTGATAACTCTGTTTGCGTTGTTGTAATGATACTGATAATGTGTTGTCTAATGTTGTGATTTTGTTTGAGTGAATCAAGATCATTCTGACCTGGGATTGTGTGCGGGAAGCATTGATGTTTGGTTCTGGTGGACAAAATTATGATCCCACCTTGTTAAGAATATTCTACTCGCTACTTCTCACAGTTGCTTAACGACACTATTGAGGTAGTTTCGAGTTTTTGATGTGTTTTTTTTATTTTTTTATTTACAGCTTGATTCCACACTGTATTTTCGGTACAAGTATGGAATTTTCAGCATGAATATCGGTAGCCCAAATTTTGCAGGCCAACCATAGATATCAGGTGTGCGTAGGTGCTGCGGGCTCGAACCCCGGACCATGTGCATGGTCGGCAAGAGTCCTAACCACTGTGCCACCGACTCAGCGTTTCTTAAGGAATTTTCAGACAGCTATGCAGTAGGGCGTGCGTCGGTGCACAGTGGTCAGGACGCTCGCCAACCATGCACATGGTCCGGGGTTCGATGCCCGACCGACTCACTCCTTAACCTAGCTAAGCCGGAAATAAAGCTGGCAAAGAGGAAAGGTTAGGCGTTAGGCTAGCAATTCCATCCTGTAAAAATAAACACCACTGCTACAGAAACTTTAAGCCTCTAGCTTGAAGTCCTATGTTCCACTGGGAACGTGAAGGAAAGAAAAAATACAGTAGAACGCAAAGGATGGTTCCCTTCGTTTAGACCACAACGAGTAGGATTCAATCGTTGAAAATATTCCTACTCTTTTACACGTTTACAAATAAATGCAAATATACTGCAAAATTAGTTAAAAGATTCTACTAGCAGAGGTACTGGGGATCCGAATGCTCAATCCTATTCTACGTATCCAAAAGAAAAACGTTCAACCGTTGTCCCCACCGTGGCCATCAGGAAAAGTCAGTCTCACCAATAATGATTATCCTATCACCTTTCTTGTCTCCAACCTTCCCGTGTATTTGTTATACTTACCTTTTAAATCCATATATGCATTATTGGATTTGGTTACTGTATTTTGTATTTTTATATGTCCGAACCTCCTACCCTACATACTTAACGCGTAATTATACATACTGACTAGTTTTCGATGTGGTTGTGTTCTGTGAGTTGGATAATTAATTTGCGAAGCTTTCATCGCCCTACTAGGTGACATCTTCAGCGCATACTTCAATTTGAAGTGAGCTTTTAGATTTCTCCACGAGTTTATTAATCATCTCTCCTGGTCAGTGACCTTGGACGTGATTGGTTGTTTTTGTGTATTTTCACACCTTCTAGGTTACTTGTATAGGAACTCATTGTTTCCTTGACCTGAAGTTTGACCTTTTGTGTGTGAGGTTTCTTTCTTATCGGTTGATAAAGTTTGTCTATCTCTGTGTGTCTATTGATTGACGACTAACTGGAATACCAGGTAGGCTTCTAAACATTCTCTAGAATTCTTGGTGTTTTCTCTGTCTAATATTTGAACGTTGTCCCAGTCGAATTGATGTCCATGGTTGTCTGTATGCAACGATATGAGCGACGGAATGGATGTCATGTCTTATGAGGGCTAGTTTATGATCATAGATACGAAGACAAAGGGAACGTCCACTTTGGGCAATGTAGTGTTTTACGCACTTGTTACAATTTATTTTGTAGATGATGTTGGTTTTATCTTCTTTCGTTGTTGAGTCTTTTGGTTGACACATAACTGAGTGAAGTGATTTTGTTGGTTTGTGTGCGACGTCAATTCCTAAAGGTTTGAAGAGTCTTGCAGTGATTTGTCAGGTATCTTTTATGTGTGGTAAGGCGATTTTCTTTGTGTTTTCCTTGGGGTCCTTTGATTTGATAGGTTGGCTTGAAAGTATACGTCTTTTGGTGAAATTTCGTGGATATCCATTCTTTTCGAAGACGTCTACGAGATATCTTTCTTCAATTTTCCTTAAGCTTGAAGTACTGCAATGAGTCCTTGCCCTCTTGAATAGTGTTTGTATGCTATTCCTTTTGTGTGTTATTGGGTTGTTGCTGTTGTAATTCAATATTTGGTCCGTGTGCGTTGATTTTCTAAAAACTTGAGTTTCTAGTTCCCCTGTGGTTGTTCGCTTGATTAAGACATCCAAAAATGAGATTTTGTTCTCAGATTCTTCTTCTCTTGTGAATTTGATGTCGTTGAAGACGTTGTTTATTAAGATGTGAGGTTTACCCAACTCGTTTCTTTTGATTATTAGAAATGTATCATCTACGTAACATATCCGAATTTTGGGTTTGATGTTTGGTAGGATTGTTTTCGGAGAAACCTGGTATTCCAGTGAATTGTCAATCAATAGACACATCGAGATCGACAAAATTTGTCAACCGATAAGAAATAAACTTCACACACAAAGCGTCAAAGTTCAAGTCAAAGAAATAATCAGTTCTAATACAAATAACCTAGAGGGTGTGAAAATACACAAAAACAATTAATCACGTCCAAGGTCACTGACCAGGAGAGATGATTAATAAACTCGTGGAGAAATCTAAAAGCTCACTTCAAATTGAAGTATGCGCTGAAGATGTCACCTAGTAGGGCGATGAAAGTTCAAATCAACTATCCGGCAAAGAGAACACAACCACGACAAGATTATCCACCTGAGCTACAAATCTTCTCTATTATATCTAAGCTGACTAAGCATATTCCATACAATCAAACAAAATCCCTACAAAACCAATACTTGAAAATTAATCTGATGCTCACTAGTGACTGGCCTTATTCAGGCAGTTAACCTGGGGTTCTAGTGGGAAGCCGTGACCAGTAGGGTACAGTAGGTCTAAGATGAGGCAGTAACTCATCGAAGAAGACATTGCGAAGTGGTCGCGCTATGTCGTGAATTGGCAGAAGTTAGAATTCAAGGACCATTGGATCGGGTCCCAGTGGCTCAATGGTCTACGAGCTCGCCTTGTAACCAGAAGGTCCTTGGTTCGAACCCCGGTGGGTGCGTACTGATGAGGAGTCCCAAACTAGGACGAAACGGCCATCAAGTACTCCCAGGTTTTCCAGTGGTTCTCTAACTGATGTCAGCTCATGATTAAATCTTCCATACAATCAAACAAAATCCCTACAAAACTAATACTTGAAAATATATAAGATAGGTTTATTTCAAATATCACACAGCAATGATACAGTGCTAACGACTGGATGACAAGGTTTCCAGCATAATTTATTGCCACTCATAATCATATCTATTAAGTCACACAGTTTCCCAATTTGTGTTTTTTGTCCGTCTTTCTGCCTCTCCCTCTTGTTGTTTGTTGCCACTTTCCAAAAGCCCCGGTTTAGGCGTTGTGACATTTCAACTACACGAGTGCGGTGTTGAATCAATAAACAAAGGTTCTGAAGCTTTGGTTATCGAAACAGAAAAATCAGATCTCTGTGTACAGAAAAAGTTAGTTCAACCCCTCCAACTTTCATGGTCTTAATCCCTCTATGCTAAAATATGATAATCCCCAATCATATTTTAGCTCTACCAATTTTTCATTTTTTTTTCATTTTGTCTATTCAATTTGTATACTCTTCCTT